TCAGAATGGAAGGAATGAGCAGAGGAGAGAGCTGAGAGCTCTTGGAGAGGGACAGCCCAGTGAGAAAGGGAACCCTGCCAAACCTGTATGCACACACAGGGGAAGTGGGAGAGTTAATTGAGGAGCCAAACTTAAGAGGATGCCCTGCACTTGTCAGCTTGGGTTATTTGCAGTCCCTTAAAAACCAGCTGTTCATGACCAGTGCATGCTTTTTGGTTTTGCTTTCAGCAGAGGTTGCTCTGTATCCTTTGTCCCATAGTGTTGGTCCCTGGGGAGTGCCTGAGCTGCCTTGGTGTTGGGACCAAGGATGCACATGGGGATATCTCCTGCTGAATCATCTGGTGAAGTTCAGATATTTGCCCCCATTGCCTGGTTTTAGTATTGGTGGGGATTAGTAAATTCTGGTGTGTTGAGCTGTAGCCTTACCCTCAGTCTTCTTGGAGAGAAAATTTCAGAGAGAGAATAAGATGATGATGAGGTTAAAGTAAATTGCTGGGAAGTTGAAGTCTAAAGTAGAAACAAATGAGAAATAAAACCCTTTTTAAAAGAGGAGGGAAGTATTTTCTTGCTATTTTTCATCTCCCTGGCTTGAGTGAGTGTGTGTCGTGAGGCTGCAGAGATTTATATTACAGCTCCTAAGCATCGGTGCTTGTTCAGAGTCTCTATTATTCTGGCCCTTTTTATTCACTCACCTTCTAAAGATGTAGTGTAAATATTTATCTTCCCTCTGGCCCATCGTGCTGCCCAGGACCCGGTGCTGTTAAACACTCTTATCACCTCATCGTTCTTATCTCCTGCGATCCCTGCCAGCATTCGGAGTCTGTCAATGGGAACGAGCCCTGCACCTTAAAAGGTGCCACAAATGAGCAGAAAGGAGATATGGGGGGGAAAATACCTTAAAATAAAGAGCACACGTGCTACCCCTCGAAAGGGAAGGGTTAGTGTAGAGGTTTCCTGTTGTGCCTGGGGAGGTGACTGAAGCTGTTGAGGTGAGGTCTCGATGTGGAGCAGCACTCAAGGAGGTGTGGGGTCCCCTCCAGACCCTTGTGCTGGTGTTGAGGGTCCAGCCCCAGCTTCATCACCGATAAGGGATCAGGCTGGACCAAAGCTCACCCAGGTAACTAACCAGCATGGATTTGTTTTTCCTCTTTCTCCCCTGGTGCTGAACAAAACAGGTGAGATGGTGGAAGAGGCGGTGGTGTCTCCCTCCAGGCCACCCTCCCACTGCACACAGCCTGGAGGGCAAATGAAGCAGCTCTGAGCTATCAGTGTTTATACAGCACTGGTTTTAAAACTGTCCAGTGAAACCACAGTCAGACACTGGCCAGTCAAAGTCTACTTGAAATGGGAGATTGTGTCTTACAGAGTGCACAGCATCTCAGCAGGTTTAGCCAAGCCATTTCCTTGTCTCTGCCCTTCAGTCCAGACCTTGTGTTAGGTTAAGCAGGGAACAGAAATTCCCAAGGAATGAACATGGGATGGCAACACTCATATAATCCCATCAGCTATAAGACAGAATTCATGTGCAGCAGCCACAGTACCACTTAGCAGATAAGACAGTTGGTCCATCTGCGCTCGGTCCATCTTCTCCCATTTCTCTTGCTTAAATTTCTCAGGAGCAGAACAAAATCCTGTTATCCAATAAGTTATCCACTGGTAGTTGGATTTTCATTGAGTGACATCTGTCACAGACCATGCATGTAGGAAGTACCAATGATTTTGTAGCATCTTTGTTTTGATGGGTTTGGTAGGCATGGACATTTGGGGTTTCATCTCCCTTAAAGGCTGTGTGGCTCAGCTGTCACCCTGGTGTGGCCAGATGTGCCAGGAGGCTATAGAAGCCACCAGGGATGGCACATGGCATTAGGAGGCAAGAGGGAATCTTGGAATCAGATCTGTTGTTGGTCCATAATGTGTCTGGGACTGAGCACTCCTACATTTGAGTGTGTCATGGTATTCCCTTCCTGGTCACTTTCTATCTGCCTGTGTGGGTTCTGCCATTTCCACAAGCTCCTCCTTTTTACAGATGGAGAATTGCTAAAAGGAGTCTGGGAAAAGGGCCTACCAGTGCCTTGCAAGCCTTTACAGAAGGTGTATTGCTGCTTTGAGCCTGGCTTTTCCCCTCTTTTGTATTGAAGTTCACCGAATCAGAGCAGATTTCCTCCTTTTTACCCTGTGACAGTGATATTTTCCCAGATGATACAGAGGCATGAAAGGGCACTTCTCAGAGGCATCCTGGCTCAGTGTTGGCCCAGAGCTGCCCATCTCCTGTTCCCCACTCACCTTTACTCAGCACCTTGTCTTTGGTCCATCCACTGAGAGGATCCATCTGATCACTGCTGGCATCTCCTGGCTGCAGAGGATGTGCTCCAGATGCCCTGTTCCTGGCTGATGCCAATGGGGTGAGGACAGAGGCTTGTACCTGCCCATTCCCTGTTTGGGATCATCCATCCTAACACAGACACATCTTGGGAGAAGGACCTCAAGATGATCAAGAGGCCACTGCTTTCTGTTGCACATCAGGAAACACCCCTTGCATCAAGACCAGCTACAATTCATCTTCACTCATCTTCTGCACATGGTGTTTGATTGCAAAACAGACACTTCCAGTGCCTGGCAGGCAATATTTGTTTCACATAATATTTGTTTCACATAATTCCCACAAAGGGAGCTGTAATCCTGACTTTCACAGCCCATCTTTGGTTAGTCTCCAGGTGTGACCATTTTGCTCTGAAGGCTCAGCGTTGCCATACCTGGAGCAGCCGGGTACATCAGGCTGCAATTAGCCACGGTGCTCCAAAGAGCCAAATCAAAGAGGGATTGAGATCAGCAGCTTCCCAAGGGCTTTCAAGGCCTTTAGTGAGTGACCACACTAGAGCTTTTTCCATTTACCTGGATTAAAATTTGTCACAGAGGAAATAGAAGCAAACAGCACGGCATCTGAGAAGTGTAACAAATAGCATTTGGCCATTGGGCAGGCTCAAAGCAGGGGGAAAATCCGCAGCGTAAATAAAGTGCAAACCATGTTTGCATAACATTGGATTAATAGTTCTTTTTAAAAACCACACTGGGATTAGAGGGATGCATTTCCTATGCCGAGACCTGCGCTCCCTCCTTAGCCCAGCAGATGCCAGAAAGTACATCTAAGAGAAATAAAAAACCTTGTTATCCCCAGCCAGCTGCTGAAACAGCAGTGCTTTCTGCAGGCCTTTGGAAGAGGAACAAATGTCTGTAGGATTCCTGGAGCAGTCCTCTGTGTTTTAACAGGGAGTTCTGCAGCAAAGACCTCCCGTGGGAAAGGGTTTCTGCTGCATGGCTCCAGTCCCATTCACCTGTGGGTTTTGTTGGCTGCAGTCTTGGAGGTGGTGATGCAGAGGGGAGCTGGATTCCCATCCCCCAGCCCACAGATCTGACATCCTGCCTTTTCAATAACTCACTGGAGTGCTCCCGCCTCTCCTTCCCCAGCCCTGCTCCGTATTTTGCTGAAGTCAGTGCTGGCCCTGTCACTCCTCCAAGCAGCCATGTGCTTAAGGAGAGCTCAGGGGCACTGGCTCACACTGGTTACTTTAGTGTGGAATAATCAATGGATGCTGGCTGTGATTCCCTCATTTCTTTGGATTGTGGTACCATCTAATGACACCCATTTGCATTGCGCTCCCCACAGTTTGGGCAGAAATAGGCTCCTGAAATGAGGCATCTTCAAACACTGCTCTGAGTGCACATGGAAGGAAAAATCAGACCCACCCACCCCTTTGCTTGGAAAAGACATGAAATGGGTATTTAGGCAGCAAATGCCTGTTACACCTGGCTTTTTATCCCTGTTGCTGCCCTGGTTGTCGTGTTGATGCTGTGTCCCAGAGCAAAGCATGGCACCTCCCACCCCAAAACACAGGTCATTCCTAATTCCTCAGCTCCACAAGCTTAATATCAAACAGAGTAACACACTGGGAAACCAGAAGACTTCCAGCTATAAGTGGAATTTCTATCTGCTTTCCTGTTCTTTTCTCTTTTGCCTGCTCCAGAATGTACAGCAAACTGTAGAATTTGCACCTTAATCCCAAAGATGATGGTAATTAAAAACTTAAGTCTCCATAGACAGATGTAAATAAATTAAGGAGACAAAGAACTGAATTAGAGGCTAATCCTGGTTGGAGTAGTGAAAGCAAAGGGGCCAGTGATTCTTTACTTCTGTTATTTCACCTGTTCTGGTGGCAGGATGAGGCTGTGGCAGGTTGAGGCGCCTGGGTTTGCAATGCTGGATGTGAAACATCAACTGTGATAGAGCACTGGGGAGGGGACATATTCCCAAAGCATTGCAGCTGGTGCAGTGCCTTAAGTGTCAGGGAGCTGTGTGCCAGCACCTACAAATCACACACTTTGCTCTGCCCTTGCGCTGCAGGTGTTTCACAAGGATGAGTTTGGCAACTTGCTCTCATCTCTGAGCATTGTGCCCTTTCCTGACCTGACAGAACTTAACCTGGCTATTGGGGCAGACCTAAAGTCTGAAGGCAGGCACCTAAGATTTATTCAGGGGGAAGGAACTGGGTTTTTTCCCCTGTGTGCTCCCATGTGTCAGTGCACTGAGCTGTGTGAGTGTCCCAGTGCTTTACTCTTCTCTCAGGTAGCTGGCAAAGCTGGGTTTGCACTGAAGCATCTTGGACTAAAGCACCAGGAGTAGTGAGAACCCTAGAGTGAGGCCATAGGACTGAAATTCTTCATTTTTATGGGCTGGAAGTGATAACAGTTTGAACTGAATTATACTCACGTCATGACGTGATCCACGCACTCTTATGGGTGGATAGATATTGATTATCCATCAATAGGGAGTGATGGTGGATGATGATTCAAATCCCAGCTGTCAGGTAGCTGGGTGTCCTGGCTGTTTGTCTGGTCAATTAAAACACTGCTAGGATTCAGCCTATTTATTTAAAACTGGAATGTATTTGTATTACCACAACGTTACCTACACCTCTAAAATCAAGTCTCTTTCTCTTTTTCAGGATGGCGAAGGCCAGACTGCACTCCATTATGGTAAGCTGCCTCTAAGCTTGGCTGTTCCTTCTTAGCAGTGTGGATTTGTTGTGTGAGTAAATGCTCTGTACACAGAAAACAAATTCCAGGAGAAAAATGAGCAAGGAAGCTGGATTTGATTAACCAGTGGCTACCTCCACTAGCAAATCCCAGGATGGTAGGGGTAGGAGCCTTGGGAGAAGATTGCTGCCCTCCCTTCGTTCTCCTCTGCAGATGTCACCTTAAAGCCTTCCTTTTCCCTCAGTTAATGATGCAGAGTTTCCCTGTACACCTCTGTGTCTCAGGATGTTGGTGTGCCACCTGCCACCAGGAGTGGCTCTGGTTAGGGGATGCCAAATCCTTTGGCCTTCAGGGAGGGTCTGTGCCAGTTTTAACAAGTTACAGAGCTCCTGGGAAGGGGACAAACAAGGTGGCCTCCACCTTGGTGTGTCCTGGTGACAAACCTGTTTGATCACAGCTGAGAGAGCAGCAGCTTCTCTACCACCAAAATCAGCAGAGGCAAGTCACAGTTGGTGTCCCTCCTACAATTACAGGCTAATTAGATCCGTGATTTAATTGAAAGATTGTTCTATCTCCAAATGAGAAAAGCAGAGACTGAAGTGATGTGTGCGGTGCTGATGTGCAGGGAATAGGAAAAAAGTATCAATTTAATCTGGATCATAATCTTTTTCCCAAAATTAAGACATAGCCAGTTATTGTCTTGTACTCTCTCTTGATGCCTGTCACAGTAATTAAGAGCATACTTGTCATTCTGAAGTGTTTGTGTCTTTCTCTCTCTTCTTGATCTCTCCACAAGGACATTAGCAGAATAGCAAAATTGATTTGCAGACATCAGTCCAGGGCACAGCATTTGGATCTGGAGCTAAACTCCCAGATTCCATGGCCCCTGAACCAAGACTATAGTTACAATAATGTGTGATTTCTCCCTGTGGGATCTTTCCTGTAGGATACTCAATTTTTCAAATACCTGTCACTGTGACTGGAATGGTGAATCTGTTGCTTAGCACAGCATTGTCCGCAGATGGACAGCACTTAAAATGCCACATTGCCTCTTTCTCTTCCTAAGCAATTCCACACTTTGGGCATTCTCTCTCCTGGGAAGATGCTTTTCCAACGCCTTTCAGGTTCACAGTAGATTGTGCAAAAGCATAGCACACATGTAAGTTATCCAAGAGCACTTGCTTCTAAGCAAGCCCAGTATGTGAAAGGAAAAGGTGGGTGCATCACCTGAGTTTAAATTCCATGCAGATGGATCCTTCTGGCTGGGGACTGAAGCAGGTTGTTCAACACAAGCAAACATAACTGATATAATGAACATTATTTCAGAAATGGTTTCTCTGATCTACCCTTCCAGCTCAGGTGTTTCAATAACTACTGTTTCCCAGAATTTTCTTCCCAAATGTTTGTGAAGTGTTGAAAGTTTTTCTTCCCCTTGAGTATCATCCCCTCTACCTCCCTGTATATAATTTTTGGGAAGCCTCTCTGGGTCGCTGTACACAGGCCTGGTGTTCCCATGGGTGCCCAGCTGTCCCTGGTGACCATCACTGCCCCCAGGAATCCTCATTCCCTTTCTTTCTGATCTGGCTGTAAATCACCCAAGCTTGGAAACTGCTTCTTAAATGGGTGACTGGGTTTGATTCAGGTGCCTGTTGGCCTGAAACTGGAACTCGCTGTCCCCTCCCAGTCCCATTTCACTCAGCACTTCCTAACTGAGTCATTAACTGCGGTGGGAAGGCAGGAGAGCTCCTATGGACACCACCTGTGAGCAGAGCAGTGCCTCCACAAGGCCTTCCCTTTTGCTGGAGGCTGTTCATGGAGTCCAGGGAAGGGTTAAATCCCATCAGCAAGGCTTTTAGGGTGTCTGCATCCCTTTTTATGAGCGGCGTGGCCTGACAGCTGTCCTTGTGGTGACAGCTCTCCTGATTACAGCCGGTGTCAAACCGCATCCTGCCGGGGTTATAAATCCCGGCTCCTTCCGACGGCCGCTGACCCCGCCTTTAATCGCGGGTTAAGCGGGGGCCAGCGGGGCCCCGGGGGTGTCCCTGCTGGGCAGCCCTTCTCCTCGGCTCCTCTCCATCCACCCGCTCCCGGGAACACCGGGATCATCGCTGCCGCCTCTCCCAGAGGAAATCAAGGCTTCTCCGAGCGGCGGAGGCCGCGTGTCGGCGGAGCGGGCAGGCTCTGTATCCTCCTGGGCACCCCGGCTTCCCTGCAAAGCGCCATCTGTTCGCCTCGGTCTGCGCCGGGCAGGGCGGTGGGAGGGGACGCTGGAGGGGAAATAAATAATAAAAAAAAATTCATCATCTGAACCCTGAGGATTAATGGAGTCGGGAGGCGAACTGCGCTGAATGGAAATTCATCTTCACCCGTGCCAGTGTCAGGGCTGCCGCTCTGGCCCTTGACAAATCGAGGGTCCCGGGGTGTGATAAATCCAGCAGCTGTGCTCGTCCCCAGGGATGTCCCCAGCCTGCTCAAGGACACGGCACCAGACAGGAAAGGCACCTTAGCCCGTGGGGACCAGCTCCCCATCCCCAGAAGCTGCCACCGTACCTTCCTTGGCACCTCTGGAAGTCTGTTTTCTGCAGAGGGATGTGCCCCCCTTCAGCTCAGCCTCGCCCACACCCCCACCTGCTTCCTCACCAACCTGTTTCCCCTTTTTGACCCCTTTTTTATCCTTTCAATATAAACTCCAATCACACATCGAATTTATTTTAATGAGACATTACTGCTTGTCCTTTTGGATCATTAGAAGACTGCAGAGTAATGCAAAAGACACTCTAATTACTAAAGGAGTCAGTCGGTTGCTTTATAAAAACACCCAAAATATTATTAAAACCAATTGCTACCAATGCAAGAGGAAGCTGCCAGCTTCATGGCCTTGTAAGGCAGGTTTTGGCTTGACTAGGGTCTGAGTTGCACAGGCTGAAGGGAAAATCCAGGATCTGGGACTTCTGCTGATGTCAGCCAAGTCCAGCTCTTCAGTGTTAAGAGTTTGCCTGATTTTCTTGGTTCTTTTATTTTAGCATCCTTAGGTAAGACATCCTAGGACAGAGAAGAGCTCGGGTAGAACTTGACTCTATATTGTCAGAGAAAATGAGGGATGAAAAAACAGTTGCCAGTAGAGGTGTGAGGAATAAAATGTGTGCCATTAACAGCTGTCCCAGGCCATGGGGAGAGTCACCTCGAGCTAGGGCTCCAGGAACTGGTGGACAGCAGCTATGCACCATCTGAATTTTGTGCAAAGAGAAGGGATGGGCAAAAGTCAGGAGCCAGGCAGTACTGAAGATGTTGTGGCTGGGATGTGCTGCCTGCTCCCTGCGAGGTGCAGGAGGCAGGTGAGGGGCAAGGGCTTCGAGATCCATTATAGATGGTGAACGCTTTGTAAATTCTGGGTACAGAAGCAGGCAGGGAATGCTTTCCCAGGTGGCACTTTGGGGGTCCCTGCAGTGCTGCAGTAGCACTCTGGGACCCTTCCCAGGCTCATTCTCCAGTCCTGGATGGGAATGAGCCTTAGCCAAGCTGTTCCAGGCTCCCTCTGTCCCAGGTGATGCCCTGCAGATCCCTCAGCTCCCAGCACCTCTGACTGGGTGCTGTTTGCACCAGGGGCACCCCCTCAGGACTTCAGGCTTTCATTGCTCTCACTGTGTCCTTTCTCCCTCCTTTGCACTGTTAGATCCCAAGCGATACGTTGTGTTCTGAGCTGCCCTGGCCGTGCTCTGCTGCTCCGGGCCAGCTGCTGAGCCGGCATTCCCTGCCTCCAGCGGGGGAAATGGCCAGCTCCGAGCACACCCATCACCGCCGCCTCGGGCCAGCATCCCCGCACTAACCCTTCCCTTTCTCCCCCCACAGCTGCCACCTGCGAGTTCTTGGACATCGTGGAGCTGCTGCTGCAGTCGGGAGCCGACCCCGGGCTGCGGGACCAGGAGGGCTGCCTGCCCGAGGAGGTGACGGACTCCAAAGCCATCACTTCGGCTCTGCAGCAGCACGGCCCCGGCGAGCCCTGAGCCCCGGGACAGAGATGCTCCGCAATAAACACCCCTTCCCTCCCTCCCTGCCGCCCTCCCCAAACACCTCGGGGGTTCCAGGGGACCTTTTAAAGCACGGGGTCTGGCTGGGCTCTCCAGCACGAGGGCCAAGCAGAATGGCATCAGAGCTTGGCATGCTCTGACACTCATCAGTATTTGAGGGGGGAGGGAGAGGGGAGAAGGCCTGGAGGAGGCCCCAAGTGTTATTTTAATGTATCAAACACGAGTACTGTATGGGCTGTCTCACCAGAGCAGCGTGGGCTGACCTGTCGGCTCCTCCGTGGGGATGCAGGGCCAGGTGAGATGCTCGTCTCTCCCATTCAGGCTGAATTTTAGGTTTTTGTTTTTTTGTTTTTTTTTTTTCCCTGGGTCCAAACAAATAATATAAATAAAAGCACAGTGTTGGGATCAAGCCTCAATGTGTTTGTTTGGTTTTGGGTTTTTTCTTGCAGAGGGTGACTTGGAAGCCATAAGAATGGGAGGCAGCTCAGTGCAGCCATAACCCTTGGGAAGTTCTGCTCGAGCTCTTGTCCTGAGGAGGGACAGCTGCAAAGACAGCAGGCTCATACAGGTGTCTGTCTGTCCCTCTGGTTCTCACACAACACATGCTGCTAATCAGCCTCTCCAAGCTGACAGGACTTTTACCCCTTTGCTGAATTGAATGGCTTTAAACACCACCTCAGTCAGTGGCTCCAGGGCCTCCTGCTGTGTTTCCATCCCTGGAATGGCTCCTCCAGGGCTAAGGTCTGGTAAGAGCTAAGCACAGATAAACCTGCACCCACCCTGTCACCCCTCTGGGTCTGTCTCAGACACTTCATGATCTTCTCAGCTGGTCAAGTACCCAGAAAGAGGGAAAAATGTGCCTGGTGGCCATGCCTGAGCGGATGTGGGATGGTCCTGGGGATTAATGCTGCCTCATGAGCATCCCAGGTGGGCCCACAGAGCTGCCAGGGGTGGGTTTGTGCTGTGGGATAACTCCCAGCTGGGAGCAGGCTGCTGCACTGGCTGGGTGTGTGGCAAGAGGAGAGGAGGCCGTGGCTTCCCTGTGGGATATTGCCATGAGTTTGCTTTTCCCAGACAAGATTTACAGCCTGGGGGGGGCAGAGGAAATCTCCATGGCTGTGACAGGAATCTGCTTGCTGCCGGGTTCTGCAGCACATGCAGCCTCAGGAACACAAATGGGAACATTCCCTGGGCTGAGGAGTGGCTGGGCAGCGGGCACACGTGGGGTTTGGCCCCTCACGGTGTCTGTGGCTGCTGCCAGCGTTTGCTGACGCTGATGGAATCGCTGCGCTGGCTCCACCACACCACAGACAGCACAGGCCAGGCTCCATGCTGGGACAAAATGGCTTGGGCAGGTTATTTCCCAATAACTTTATATTAAACAAGACCCCCCCCTTCAAGGGGGCTTCTGCTCCCCTTGCCCCTGCCCAGGGCAGCTGCAGGCTGGCAGTGGCCGGGCTCATCACAGCCTGGCACTTTTGCACCCCAGATGCAGACGAAACAAGGATGCCAACCCCAATTCTGGGGTCACTCTGACTTTGGTGGCACCAAGGTTGGGGACAAGCAAGGCCACCACTGTGCAGGGCAGTAATGCACAGCCACTGCCTGGCTTGATGGACACGCTGGGTAATAAAAAACCTCTGTTAAAGCCGGGATGAAGAGCAGCAGCCACGGTGCTGGTGCTTTCAGAGAGCACATTTGGGGCCGAGCGCTCAGCCCTGGAGATGTTTATAGCACTTTAGGTCTGTTTGTGAGGTTGGAGCCTTTCCAAAAAAAAAAAAGAAAGCGGGGGTGGGGGTAGGGGGGAGGAGAGAAAGACATATATTATTGTTTATAATCTGCTTTATTCAGCCAAACCTTTCCCCAGCAGCCTTGCGGATTGCTGTTAAATCCCTTGGTGCCTTTAACTACCGATACAGAAAGTGGTTAATGTGCATTCGCCCTGAGCTTGGCATCTACTCCAGGAAATCACTTTAATTGAGAAGCATTAAATGTTAAAATGATTAAAATATAGAAAGCCAACACACCGGTGCCCGTGGAGGGGCTTGGACCCTTCTGCCCCTCCTGCCTGGCACGGCCCTTCCATGTCACCTGTGCCCGCCGAGCGCTGCAGTGGCACAGCCAGGCACCCACTGTCACTGCTGCAAGGTGGCAGGAAAGCCGTGCCACCTTGGGGTGCCATGTGGCAGCCATGGAGATTCCCACCCCAAACCTCTCTGTGCCAGCAAAAAGCCAGGACATGATGACCAGTGCCACTTGTTCCGTCACCCAGGGATGTCAGTGCCGCCATGCAGACACGACCCTGGCAATCCTGACCCCAAACAGCCAGCAATGCCAGTGGTGAGCACTGCCCTCCCGCTGAGGAAGAAAATCCCAAAGACAGAAAATCCCAAAGACAGCAGCTGCTAAAAAGCATCCCGAGTTTATTTGCCATCGCTTTCCCTCACGGCGAGGGGGTGACTGTACACATCTCATGCCAACACACTAGAGGCAGGGTACAAAAGCAACGCCCTGGGCCCGAATCCGGGGGCAATTTGGGGGGATCATTTCTCCCCCAAGACATGGCAATAAATAAGGTTTTATTCTTTAAAATTTTTTATTATTATTATTCTTTTCATTGGGTTTTTTTTTTCCTTTTTATTCCCCCAGGAAACAAGACTCTCACTTTCTGGAACTGTACAAAATTTACACAGCGAGGGGAGGAGGCATTTGGCCTTGCTGAAGGGGGATGGGAGCAGCAGGCACAGCTCTGCCCCGTCCCCCTCTCCACCAGGGCCGGCAAGGCCGGGAGCTTGGCACGAAGCAGCACCCAAGGCTGGGGAGGGGGGAGGCACATGGAGGCAGCTGGGGCAGCTCCTGCAGCACCAAGGCACCCAGCTGGGGGGGCAAGGAAGGACAAGGACAGACCAGTGATGTGCTTTCTCGTGTGGCTTTTCTCTTTTTTCTTTTTTTTTTTTTTTTTTTTTTTTTTTTAATTCTTTTTTTTGCCTCTGCTTCTGGAGCCTCCACACCGCTGGAAGGAGCTGACTAACTGGATCCACCCCCAGCCCTCCCTGAAGGGCAGCCTGGGATCATCAGCTTCACCCCAGAGACAGGGAGGGTGGCAGGGCCCCCATGGCCAGGGCATCCCTGTGGGGCTGGGGCAGAGCTGGGCACCCTGGGCAGAGAGTGTGGAGCTGGATCTTACCCTTGGGGCTGAGGATAGGGGGGTGTGGCTGTGCTGGGGGAGATGGGCATGTGGGTTTGAGCAAGGGCTAGTGCTGAGTGAGCCTGGCCAGGAGCAGACCCCATGGGGCTTGCGGGATGTGCCAAAGCCGCCGGGATCCTTCCTGGCTGCCTGCACTCACCCTTCGGTACCATCAGACCCACGGCACCAAAGGAGGAGGGTGACCCATACCAGGCTGTGAGAGCACCTCACAGCCCAACTGCCTCCCCTTCCCACCACGCAGGTGCTTCTGCAGCTGACGAAATTCCCTTTCCCCTGTTTGGGAGGAATTTTTTTGCAATGGCCTCAGAGCAAAGGTTGCCCACCTCTCCCACCCACCCCTCCAGTGGCTGCTCTGCAGGTGCCAGCCCCAGGCATCCCGGCTGGCCCTGCCATGGCACAGCTTGGCCAGGGGGCATCCCGGGCTGGAGGCTTTTTTTTCATTCCTTCCCCTCGCGTGACCATGGTACAAAGCAGCGATGCTCCTGCGTGCCCAGGGATAAATCACGGCCCAGCGCTAGGCCAGGAGCAGGCAGGATCGCCCCTGGGCGGCGGGGCAATGGCCCCGGCAAAATAAACCCTTCTACAATATAGACTTCTCTTTCCGCGGAGGCTCCGGGCAGCGCCGAGCTGCTTTTCAACACCGTATCGAAAAATAACTCTTGAGAATAGCAGCGGTGCCCGGCAGGGGCTGCGGGGCCGGCGCGGCTGCCGGGATGGACTCTGCCACCCCTGATTGTTCTTCTTTCCCTCCCGCCGGCCCCGCCGAGCCCCGTGCGCCGCCACCTCTCTTGTGCTTACAGCCAAAGGCATCCGTGCCCCCCGCCCGAGCACAGCCCCCCTGCCATCGCCAGTGCCGTCCCCCCTCCCTCCAGCCCTCCAGGGCCGTTCCCATGGGATCTCCTGGAAAGGTCAACGCCGGCGGGTGCCCTCAGTGCTGCGCTTGCTGGGGGGAGCGCGGGGGCCGGGGCGGGGGCGAGCAGCGCTTAGAAGGGGGGGTGATCCATGTCGTCCAGCCAGGAGGCCGGGCTGGTGGGAAAGTCTGGGTACCCGACGCTGCTCCCCGTGGAGATGTCGGAGGTGGGGCCCCCCCCGGCCATGGCCCGCAGCGTCTGACTCACCCCCTGCGCCCCGTGGGCCACCAGCCCCAGGCTGCCGTCCACGGCGTAGTCCAGCCCGTTCAGCAAGGGCGGGTGGGCCGGCAGGGACGAGATGGAGGACGGCGACTGCGGGAGGCCGTAGGGGCTGCCGTCCCGCAAGTCCTGGTACGTCTGTCCCGTGCCCTCCATGGAGAAGCCGCCGTTCAGCAACTGTCCGCCCGCCACGTCCCCCACGGAGCCGTAAACCCTGTTGTTGTGGCCGAGCTCGGAGAGGATCTGGTCTTCTGCCGGGGACAGGAGGCAGAGCGGAGGCGGGGGGTCAGCGCGGGGAGCGGCCCCGCAGCCCCCCGGCCCCGCTCGGCCGCCGCGCTCACCGCGGAAGCTGAGCTCGCTGTCGCTGACGCCGCAGTCCTCGGCCGAGCTCTCCTTCTCCAGCTTCCCTCCCCCGCGGCTCCGCTTCACGCTCTTGTAGAACTGCCCCCAGCGATGCCGCCCCGCGTCCTTCTTCAGCCGCTTCTCCTTGGCCCGCCGGTTCTGGAACCACACCTGGGGCGGGCAGTGGGGACATCGGTGGCACCGCGGCACCCCGCCACCTTGGCAGGCGTGCATGGCAGCACCCCTGTAATCCAGCGCCTCTGCAGCCCAGAGCTCCAGCACCCTGGCACACCTTACATCCCAGCACTCCTACATCCATCCCAGCACCCCGGCACACCAACACCTAAACCCCCATGCATCCCTAAACCCAGCATCCCTAAACCCCGCAAACCCGCATGCCAACACTCGTGCCCCCCAGCTCCCACACCCCGCTGCAACCCAGCAGCCCATCACCGCTGCAGCCCAGCTTCCAGGCGCCCCGATACCCCTGTGAGCCCCGCATCCCCTAAGCCCAGCCCCCCGGAGGGAGCCCTTCTCTCGGGGCAGGGTGGAGAGGGGCACCCGCCGCCTCACCTGCACGACCCTCATGTCAAGCCCCGTCTCGGAGGAGAGCTGCTCCCGCACGTGGCGGGCGGGCTTGGGGGAGTTTTTGTAGGCGTTCTTCAGCGTTTCCAGCTGCTTGGCCGTGATCGTGGTCCGGGGCCGCTTCGCGCCCGCCTCGGAGTCATC